CAATAGGTAACGGGGTTGTGCACAAAGTGGAGCAGGTGAAAATTTTGTATTTTAAGGCAGATCAATATTGCATACTTCTTATGTTGTCTTAATCTTATGTTAGATAATAGTCTAACATATTCAAATGTGCTCACAACAAAAATCACTTTTTACTGTCATACTAAAAAAAAAAAAAAGTATTGGGACTCTATTTGTGGAAAGTGCCAGAAGAGTTTGGGTGCTATTACAAACCTTTTTGTACGTTGAGATGCTTCAGCTCTTGGTCATCAGTGTCCTTCTGTCCTGCCTTGAAGGCAAGTGCTGGAGTCTTCTGATAAACTTTCCGAAGCAGGAAGTACTCCAAGCACATGGAGAACACATTCCAACCCGAGATAAAACCACAGCCGATGAAATGGGAGCCGAATGCCATGATCTGGCCCACAAGCATTGGAGCCAGAATGTTGGTTAACTGGTCGATTATTCTTACAGTTGCGTTCATATCTAACAAAATAGAAATATAGAAAACAATAGGGGGTACAGTACAGGAAAAATAGGATATATTCTGTGATTATATATATATATATAGAGAGAGAGAGAGAGAGAGAGAGAGAGATACAGTACAAGTGATTCTGTAAATTATGGATTCTGCAAGATGTTGTCAATGTTTTTGAAAAAAAGGCTCTTATGCTCACCAAAGCTGCATTTACTTCATAAAAATACAGTAAAAACAGTAATATTGTAAAATATTATTGCAATATAAAATAATTGTTTTCTATTGTAATATATTTTAAAATGTAATGTATTCCTGTGATGGTAAAGCTGAATTTTCATATTATGTTGATTTGATGCTCAGGAAACATTTCTTATTATTATCAATATTGAGAACAGTTGTGACACTCAATTGAAAAAAAAAATCATACTACCCTTATTACTTTTGAATGGTAATGTATATCTCTATATAATATACATATTGGCTATGTGCTAACTTTCATGCACTTTCACTGCAGGTTAATGGGTTCACTGGATACATTGAGAGTCATAAGGACTGACAGCTGATGCAAGCACTCTATACAGATAAGATGATTGATGGAGAAAGAGCTGTAATGTATTTTATGAGTTTCCTCGACTAGGTGAGATGAGTTTTATAGAGAATACAGTGGTTGAAAAACGTTAAATAAAAATTAAATAACCAAAA